CAGTTAATGTATATAATTACCATTACTTGTTTCTTAGTCTGTTATCGTTGTAGTTCTAATTATTTGGTACACATTGAATTTTGATTATAGGCTGCCATGGGCACGTTTGATGGCATCATTGACACAGTCTCTGCTGTGCATGCTATTTCACCCTTGATTGACCTTTTGAAGTCTCATGGGAAGCTTATTATGGTGGGTGCACCGGATAAGCCACTTAAGTTACCCGTCTACCCTTTACTCATGGGTACGTTTGCCATTTTATGCATTGTATTTCATGGACAAGTTTATAATAATCTTATCAAATTTTGCTTAGAGCCTAACGTATTTAAATATGTGAATATGTAGGAAGGAAATTGGTGGCCGGCAGTGCAATTGGGGGTATGAAAGAGACACAAGAGATGATTGATTTTGCAGCAAAACACAACATAACAGCAGAGATTGAGGTTATTTCAATGGATTATGTGAACACAGCAATGAAACGGCTTGCTAAAAACGATGTTAGATACCGATTTGTCATTGACGTTGGAAACACTCTAGCTGCTACCAAGCCTTGAGGACTTGTACGTCAATTTCAACTCTCATTGTTTCATTGATATTGTATAATTTGTATGTAGTTGGAAGTATATTTAATAGAATTATAATAAAACAAATAAAACTATGTTTTAATACATGTACATTTTATTTGTGACATTCTGGTCAATGCCTTCCACAAGCAAGAAGCGCAAATGGAAATGTAAAAGTGGTTTTTACACCTCTAAATTTGCATCTTGCATTATGGATGTGATTTTGGCCAAGTCAATAGGACTCAAAACTTTTGGAAATAGTCCAGGGATAAGTACCTGCATGGCTGCTCTATCTTGGACAATTCTCTGATTAATAGACACGGATGTTCTGCCACCTGGAAGGGTATTCTACATGGCTCCAGACTGCTTATGCAGGGGATGACTTGGAGAATTGGGATGGGGGATAAAGTGAAATTTTGGACAGACAAGTGGTTGTCTGATATACCATTGATGGAGTATGAGGGAATTGGTGATGTGCTAGATTTGGACTGCCCTGTCTCAAGCTTCTTTAAGCATGGATGGTGGGATATTGAGAGGTTGAAAGATGCTGTGCCTGTTGAGGTAGTAGAAAGAATTCTTAATTTTCCTGTTGGTTCTATTGGTACTTTACATGATTCGCAGATTTGGAAACACACAGCTAATGGGGTCTACACTGTTAAATCTGCATATCAACTGCTCTTTGGTGACTCTTCTTGGAAGGACTCTTTCTGGAAGGTTTTATGGCAGTTGAACCTTCCCCCCAAGTTGAAAGTCTTCCTCTGGCTTGTTTACCAAGATAAAATTCTGTCAAATGATCAGAGAGTAAGAAGGAATTTAGCTACTGACCCTTCTTGCTCTATATGTGATTGGCCCTATGAAACTGCTCTCCACATTCTTAGAGATTGTACTAAAGCCAAAGAGATTTGGCGTTATTTCTTGCCTCCCCACCAACGAAATAACTTCTTTTATGCTGACTTCCAACCTTGGTTAAAGACTAATATCCTAACTTCTTTTATACTGACTTCCAACCTTGGTTAAAGACTAATATCCTTTCCAAGGCTAGATGGTCTAGGAATATTTCTTGGTGCTCTGTTTTTGTGTTTATCTGTTGGTATTTGTGGAAATGGAGAAACCAATCTATCTTCAATGTTGATGAGGCTGCTCCTTCTAACACCTGGCAAATCATCTTATATGCTATATCTGAATGGAGTAAGGTTCCTTTTGGTGGTGATATAGCTGGGGAGAAAATTCAGATTTTTTTGGCTTGGGAATTTCCCGGTATTGGAGTGGTTAAACTCAATGTGGATGGTTCTTGCAAACTAAACTCTGGGAATATTGGTGCTGGTGGTATTCTTCGT